TTGCATGTAAAACCTCAAACCAACCTGAGTGTGATTTCTCTTTAGTTCTGACCTCACTGCTGAGCTGCACAACAAACCAAGGTGAGAAAACTTCTTCTGTCACAGCTGAAAAGTTATTCACTCCCTGATAGAACAGTTTAGTGTTTAGGACAGTGTTTGGGGAGGGAAACAGACACTTTACAAGTACAATAAAACACTGAATGCAGTTTTGATGTCACGGTGTTGCAGACTGGAGCCAAAAATTGCTGCTATAAAAATGTAATTCAGAAACTGCAAAGCATGATACAGTGGCTACAATAGAAGTGGACTAATATATTTACTAAGACACATGGAGCCAGATTTTCTGATGGGTTTAACATCAATGTTGAGAGTTAATTTGAAAACAGGTGGAAAAAACAAGCTCAAACCAGAGTTTGATTTGGATTTCTTCTCTGAAACTCCAAGCCTGAAACACAGAGGAGACTATAAATTGCAAATCATCTCTCCAACCACATTCTGTCTCTTCCTCCAGCCTCTCTGACTGTGAGTCCCAGCAGCTCTCAGCTGTTTAGAGGAGAGTCTTTCTCTTTGAGCTGTGAGGAGGACGACAGCTCTGCTGGATGGACGCTGAGGAGGAACACAACCAGAGAAAACAGTACTCAGTGTGATGACTGGGGAAGATCAGCTGGTTCTTCCTGTTACATGAGCTACATCACCACATGGGACAGTGGAGTTTACTGGTGTGAGTCCAGAGAGGGAGCAACCAGTAACACCATCAACATCACTGTCACTGGTAAGATCAGGCTGTTGTGATCCCTGGATTAATGGGTCTAATTAGGGGATACCAGGTCAATAACAACCACAGGTGCTCTGAACACTTGGGCTTTTTGCTTAACACTTGGGCTTTTTGCTTAAATAAAAGAAAAGATTTAACAGGGTAAGACAGAAAAGAAGACTGACTGTTTTACCTCTGGAAGCTAACCAACATTGGGTGGAGCACTGAGATAGCAAAGGGCCTTAACAAACCATACTTATTAGTTTTTATGTAAGTGTTTACTGAGAACAGGACATAGTGACTGGAGGCTCAGAAAAGGAGGATAACTACAGCTGAAACTTACACTTTGCTGAGTTTGATGGCAGGAAAGCAGACAGTGACAGTTTCACTCTGCAGCTCCTCCTCTTTCAGCCCAACCACCTCCTTAGGTGCTAAGATTTTGGTACTGTTGGTTTCACAAAGTTTAAATGTTATGTAATGCATATGTTTATATGTTCTGCAGCAGAATCTTTGTTGCTGCTCAGATTCTTGGAGGCCTTCCCCTAAAATATAACAATTTCCTGTAAATGATCTGTTCTTTATTGCAACTGTCTTTCGGAAATACTAGCTGTAACATTGTTGTATTGTCTGTTCAGTACACACAACGTGTGTGGTTGCTGGCAAAAAACAACAGGTGTTGTGATTTTTTTAATGTTTCATCCTCATATATAGCATCTTTTTTGTGACGTGTGCCATTCACGTTGTGGGTTGCACCGTAAACTTAAGCTAGAGGTGAGTTGTGCTACGTTCAAATGGCAAGCCATGTTTTTAAGTTGTTGAAATGCTGTAGTTTGTCTCTGTGTTGAGGTGGACCAGTGATCCTGCAGAGTCCTGTCCTCCCTGTGATGGAGGGACATGATGTCACTCTGCACTGTAAAACAAAGACCCCTCCCTCCAACCTCCCAGCTGGTTTCTATAAAGATGGCTCCCTCATCAGGACTGAGCCCACAGGTCACATGACCATCCACCATGTTTCCAAGTCTGATGAAGGCCTCTACAAGTGTAACATCAGCGGTCATGGAGAGTCTCCATCCAGCTGGATCTCTGTCACAGGTGAGGAGGTTACCTTTGATTTCAGGACTTATCATAAAAACACAAAAAATTACTTACAATAGTAAGAAATATTGCACCACATCTACATGTTCTGAACCATTTGCTCAGAGAATTACTGTCTTCATTAATGTATAATTTATGCATTAAAAGCATACAACACTGAAAAGTACAATTTTGATAATATTAACATATCAGCTCTCATTTTCACTCACAAAATTTGGCCATCTAATATTAGCTAAGAGGGGTTTGACTCAAATTTGTGCATGAACGCACACAATGAGCATTGAGGATTGACAAAGGATATGAGAAAGGCTAATCTGGACTGCACTGACTGGGATGTTTTAAGGACTACTACCAACAGTCTGGATGTTGCTGTATACCAACATGCACCATGGTGAGTTATAAAAATAACAAACCCTGCTTCACAGCTAAACTCAGCCAGCTGAGGCTGGAAGAGACGTTTAGGAGTGGAGACCAGGCTGGGTGCAGGGCGTTAAAGTACAGGGTTAGCAAGGCGGTGCAGGTGCAAGCTAAACAGCTGTACTCAGAGAGACTACAACACCAGTTCTCAAGAAACGACTCTACTTCTATCTGGAGAGGCTTCAGATAGATCACCAACTACAAACCTAAATCCCCCCACTCCATGAACGACTCACGCCTTGCCAACCAGTTTTACTGCCCTTTTGAAAGACAATGGGACAGACCTGTCACCATCCTCCCTCACAGTCACAGTCCACCATCTCATCTATCTATCTCACCCCCCGCCATCCTGGAGAGGGATGTCAACAGACTATTCAGGAGGCAGAAACCCTGCAAAGCAGCTGGGCCAGAAGCACTGTGCTGATCAGCTGTCTACGGTGTTCAGACATTTTTAACACCTCACTGGAGTCATGCTATGTGCCAGCCTGCTACAAAGGCTCCTCCATCATCCCTGTCCCCAAAACACCAAGGACCACAGGACTAAATGACTACAGACTATGAAAGGTGATGAAGTCCTTTGAGCGCCTTGTGTTGTCCCACTTAAAATCCATTACAGACCGATTCCTGGACCCCCTGCAGTTTGCCTACAGAGCCAACAGGTCTGTAGACGACGAAGTTAACATGGCCCTTCACTTCATTCAAGACCCGGGTCCCCACTGTCACTGACTGTCATACCCCCATCACCAAACCCAAGCACACACACACACACACACACACACACTCCTGACCCCACACTTTACAACAACGCTCAACTGTGCTTTATGCTCAGGTTGTGAATTTTTACACATACTCAGTATTATTGTAATTTTTGTATACTTCATTTTGATCTCCTTACTTTTTATATATTTCTATTTATTTTCATGTGTATTGTAAGCACCAATTTATACCAAGGCAAATTCCTCGTATGTAAACATGTACCTGGCACTAAACCTGATTCTGACGAGGCAGGGAGAGATGAGTAAGGAGAAAGACAAAAAGAGAAAGGTAGATTTAACCAGCTAACGTTAAGCTAGATTTTACATTCACAATAATGTAAATTGATTGGTATGTACTGTCTTCCATTCTGTGTGCGCGCAGTTACGCACAAAAATTTAAGCTTGTGTGCATGTGGCCTGCCTCGGCTGCTGAAAAAAATCCCCTCCAGGTGTGAGTCAGACCTTAGGCCCCAGCTCGAGCGCTCTGCTCAACTACCTCTGCTGGCTGGCTAGTACCACTATTGCTCAGAGCAGGCAGACAACTCATCTCTGTTCTGCGCCGCAGTGGTAGAGCGAGCTCTCAGCCAATGTCAGGACAGCAGAGAGAGAGGTAGAGTTTTATTTTGTTTCACAGTTTACAGCTCATAGAAATACAAAATATTACAATATTAGAATAAAGAATGTATAATACAGAAATATCGACCAGAGAAGAGTCTTTAATCTCTGTCTGGTTCAGTACACACAACCAAAATCATGAAGAAGACTTCTGACTTGACAGTCCAGAAGCCACTCATTGACTCCCTCCACACGAAGGGTAAGCCACAGAAGGTCATTGAAAGGGCTGGCTGTTCACAGAGTGCAAAATTAAAGCATGTTCACGGAAAGCTGACTGGAAGGTTAAAGTGTGGCAGGAAAAGGTGCACAAGCAAGAGGGATGACCGCAGCCTTAAGATGATTGTCAAGCAAAGCCAATTCAAGAACTTGGGGGAACTTCACAAGGACTGGACTGAGGCTAGAGCCAGAGCATCAAGAGCCACCAGGAGTATAAACGGGACATTACTAGTGTCAAGCCACTCCTGATAGATATAGTATAGACAGTGCGTGAAGTACCTCTCCAGATCAGGTTCCCTGGGCGCTACATGATGCTCACCTGTTCTCACCCACCTGCTAAACTCTGTCGGCGGGGAGAGACGAGAGAGAAGAGAAGCTCTGGTGCCTCTCAAGCAGCCTGAATGTAGCTCGTCAATGTCACTTATCGTGAACCGACCGATCACAGCCTGGACAGGGTGGGACAAATTTACAGATAAGTGTCATTTCCACTGGGGACAGGTCAGAGTTAGAATGTCTCCATCACTTTTTGAAAAAATTTGTTAAAACTTTTTCTGAAAAACAGCAACAAGAAATGTTAAATAACAAATAAAACAACGCACAATTAGAAAACATGCAATGCAACTGAATATAGAAGAAATAATGCATTATATTCCATTATATTTTTATATTTTGATTTGTCACCTTAAAACTTTGTTTCCTTTCATATAAATAAAGACATTTCTATCATAAATTGGTATAGAAGTGTCCAGAATGCAGGAAATGAAGTATTTATTGCTCAAAGCCGTTAATGTTATAATATTTACTAGTTTCACCTTGAGGCTGAGGATAGTGCGAGTGCGGATTAGAAACTGAAGTGGCTTAAGTTGTCTAAACCTTAAGGTTTTGTCTTCTCTGTTATGGGTTAGGGTTAAATATTTTACGATACCAGTACCAAAACCAGTACCCTTAAAGTGATACCGATACCAATAGAGTACTTAATTCGATACCTTGCGTAAAATGTATCTCTAGTACTTTTATTATTGTTGTCATGGATAATCAAGATTATCTATTTCTTATTTCAAATAACTTAATAACTATAACTAAAGAGAAGCTGCACACGAGCTGATCATACTGACTACATCTGTTATAAGCTTTTTCACTTTCTTCTGACAAATGTACTTGTAAGTCACTTTGGACTAAAGGTTCTGCTAAATGCCCTAAATTTAAATGTTTTGTTGTCTAAACCTTACCAAGTCTTAAGGAGGTATGACATCATCAACTACGGCAAGTGCCCAAGAACCAAGCTCAGAAAAACTCACATTTTTTGTGTTCACTTCAAGCAATTTGTTCTGTTTTGTGGAAAGTGCAGATCTCTTGTTGGCATGTAAAACCTCAAACCAACCTGAGTGTGATTTCTCTTTAGTTCTGACCTCACTGCTGAGCTGCACAACAAACCAAGGTGAGAAAACTTCTTCTGTCACAGCTGAAACATTATTCACTCCCTGATAGAACAGTTAGTGTTTAGGACAGTGTTTGGGGAGGGAAACAGACACTTTAAAAATACAATAAAACACTGAACTGTCAGGAGTCGGCTGAGTTAAGGCTCAGGACTGAGGTGTGTGGACCCAAATGCAGACTCAGGCAAGGAGGATGCAGTTTAAATGAGGATTTATTAACACCAAAAGGCAGGCTTGTGTTGGGAGCTCAGCAGCAATTGCCCCAACAGAAAATACTCCAAAACCAAACAAAACATAATCCAAAGGGAAGAATCCGAGAACAAAGTACAAACCAATGAAATAATCCAAGAGGGCAGGGCAGGGACAGAACACTCAACACAGACAATGCAAACAAAACAAGGGTGCAACAAAGACTGAAGACAACTGAGGACAATATATACACTGGTAAACGAGCAGGGTGGGAAGCACAGCTGAGATACATCAGGTAATCAGACAAAGCTAGACAAGGACACCAGGTACAGAAGATTACCAAAATAAAACAGGAAGTAACGTTCACAGGAACACACAAGGACAGATCTACCAAAGTAAAACAAAACATGGAAAGACAGCAAAATCAGGACACTGACAGAGACAAGACTACACTAAAACATGGAGATATAAGACTAAGGACTAAGACAGACCATAATGAGAAAACACAGAAGTACACAGATCAGGAAAACACTAAGCATGAACTAAAGTACAGGACTAAGAACTAAGATGAGAGACAAGACAGTTACTAAGACAACTTAAAGCCAATGAACAAAATAATAGACTAGACTACAAAACTCCAAACCATGACAATATCAAATAGACACAGGAAAAACAACAGCACAAAACCAAATCCTAACATGAATGCAGTTTTGATGCCACGGCTAAAACTGCTGCTATAAAAATGTAATTCAGACACTGCACAGCAGGATGCAGCGGCTACAGAAGAAGTGGAAAAAGAAAAATATATCTACTTTATTTATATATAATAATATTTATAATATATTATAAAACGTGTCTGTCGGCTCATATCTGAGTTTGATTCAGATTTCTTCTCTTCCTCCAGCCTCTCTGACTGTGAGTCCCAGCAGCTCTCAGATGTTTAGAGGACAGTCTTTCTCTTTGAGCTGTGAGGAGGACGACAGCTCTGCTGGATGGACGCTGAGGAGGAACACAACCAGAGAAAACAGGACTCAGTGTGGAGCTGGCTGGGGAAAATCAGCTGGTTCTTCCTGTTACGTCAACTACATCACTATATGGGACAGTGGAGTTTACTGGTGTGAGTGCAGAGAGGGAGCAACCAGTAACACCATCAACATCACTGTCACTGGTAAGATCAGACTGCATTAATGGGGTCTAATGAGCCAGATCAATAACAAACACATAAACACCTCTTAAAACTTGGTTGAAAGACTGTTGCAACATCTACTAAAAAGAGCTTTTTTACAGCTGTGAATTGCACTTAAAGCACATAAATACAAAAACATTTCAAAGCAGTGAGTAGGCTTACTGTCTTACAACAAGTACAGGCATTTAGTGCTTCAATCAGCTGAATGATATACAAACCAAAATGTAGCCTGTAAAACCGTGGTGATGCCATTTTCCAAGAGAGCTGATTGGTCAGTAGGTGGTGCTTTTATAGCGTTGGTCTATTATATACATAAACTACTGTGGAGCAGGTTAGCTGTTCGACAAAACTTACTGTGGTGATTTAAACCGGTGAGAAGTGAACCACCGTCGTAGGCCTGAAAACCCAGGATTAAACCTGAAGTTACCTCACTAAGCTCAAATCCTGATTTGTAGTACAGGCCCCAGCTCAGCTTAGATATATACTAATCACTACATTACATACATTGCAGAAATACAGTTATCTTTTATTTAGCTCTTGCACCCCTTAATTACCCTCACAATCAGTAAAAGCAGCAATAACATCTACAACTTGAGCTCTGGGTTACCAGATCCAGAAGCGCACATAAGCACCACAGTCCAGACTGTGGAGTTAGTGTTGATGAAGCTGTGTGTAAATGATGAAATGCTGTAGTTTGTCTCTGTGTTGAGGTGGACCAGTGATCCTGCAGAGTCCTGTCCTCCCTGTGATGGAGGGACATGATGTCACTCTGCATTGTAAAACAAAGACCCCTCCCTCCAACCTCCCAGCTGGTTTCTATAAAGATGGCTCCCTCATCAGGACTGAGCCTACAGGTCACATGACCATCCACCATGTTAACAAGTCTGATGAAGGCCTCTACAAGTGTAACATCAGCAGTCGTGGAGAGTCTCCATCCAGCTGGATCTCTGTCACAGGTGAGGAGGTTACCTTTGATTTCAGGACTTATTTCATCCAGAGATTCATCTGACCAGGTGGATTCTCTCAACAGGTGGACCTACAACCTCAGCCCCGCCTGCATCTGCAGCCCCTCCACCTGCTTCAGACCCCCTCCAGCTTGTGTTCAGACTGATCTACCACCTTGTGTTGTTCTGTCCATACTGCATCTCCACTGTCATCATGGTGTCCTTATATCGACACAGGCAAACAGGTAACAATCTTGTCTTGAGGGGCCTTAAAATACTGTACGTATTTAAATGAGTGTATCTCAGAACCCAGAAGCTCCGGTCTCTTGGGTCCCAGCAAAAACCCTAGTGCATTGTAAGCAAGTAATCTAAGGGCCCTTTCACACCTGTCCGCCTCTAAGGTCTGAACACACATTAATACATTTGATTAGTTTTGGTTATGTTTCACACTCATCCTGTTGAACTGAAACACTTTGCACCTCAAAGAAGTAATCAAATTAGGGCTGGGCACATTAACGCGTTATTATTGCGTTAATGCATTAATTAATTCACGCCGACAATCATTTTATTGCACGTTAACGCAGTTTTTATTTTATTATTATTAGTTTGAAAGTCCCTTGCTCACTGGCTCTGAATACACATACAGTCAAACCATGAGTCACAAGAGGGGCGGGATGTTGATCAGACTGCAAATCACCCACCCAAACAAGCAGTGGAGGGAGACTTCAGACTACGCTGTCATCTTGTTTCCATATTTTTCAACCCGCGATCCGTTATCACTGCAGTAGGTGCAGTAGGTGAACCACATGTTACACTTTTGTGTATATAGCAGTACATTTAAATTAAAATTGCGCAATCCACTACTTTAACTACTGCGGAGCCACGGATGGGCCCGTGTGGACCTGGGCCCGTGTGGACCTGGGCCCACCCACTTGACCCTCAGGCCCACCCAATCAGAAGGCCTTCTTTCTTACTGATCGATCATTCAGTGCAGTCACAACATTTTGTTTCTTCCTGCTTGTTTACCATTTGATGACGATAGTTCAGATTTTTTTGAATGGCACATTATTTAGCAAATGCTCAGTGAGTGCATTGCACGAAACAGTCTTTGATAGTTTTCAGCTATAGCTAGCTTCTTTTAATGTTAATTTAGATAATCATGGCGAAACAAAGCAATTTGTTCAAGTTTTTAACAAAAAGACGTCGTGAGGAGCAAGGGGAAGAGGATTCACCTCAGGTTCTGCCACCATTTTCACCTACTACTGCCCCAATTTCTCCTCAACAAGGGCCAAGTAGTAGCAACACACACAAGGCTAATTCAGGCTTTCCCCCCGTCAGCAGCAGCACCTGAGTCTCCAACCACATCAACCCCTCCATGCCAAAGCACAAGTAACGTTAGGCCTACATACAGCGCCAAGGACGTACAAGCCCCATCAGACCTGTCCAATATAGATGAACCTGCGACCCAGCCCACTGTAGCAGGCAAAGCTAGAAGTCTTTCTGTCCGAAGGTATGAAAGATTTCAATGGTTAAGCCATATCGCCATTTCCCCGAAGTGGCCACTGAGGACCAATTTATTAAAACTGGGTTCAATGACTGGAAACATATTTCCCAATGTTGTGTTAAACACGAGGGTAGCAGGACGCATTCTACAGCGCTGGGCAGAACCCAGGGATTCAAGCAAAGCCACCAAACTGAACGGGAAAATATTGTCAACCAGCTGAATAATGATGCCAAGAACAGATCGTTTGTGGAAAGGAATAGAGAGCACATTAGAGGTGTAATAGACCTCGTTTTATTTTGTGCAAAACAAGATATTCCATTGCGTGGGCATCGTGAAAATGAAGAGGTACTGAACAGATCATGGAACTGAACACTCGTTTTAAGGCGGACACGTACGGGTTTATGAGAGCCGCTGCTGCGTGCATGCCTCAGTCAGACACCTTTGGTGACAAGGCACTAAGTTTTAACTGAGCTCTGTCTCAACATCACAGTAACAACTTTATGTCCATTGACTGCCTGGATGGTAGCTAATGTTTGGAAGGGAGAGGAGAGGTGTGTGCTGCAGCTCAGTGTTTTTACACAGGTGTTTATTCGGGTGTGTAGGAGTAGCCGCTTGGCTTGGCGAGCGTTATATGACGCACATTTTGCTTTCATCCCTGTGTCATCCCTTAAACGAGCTGTTTTCAGGCAGTTCAGAGCAGGGTTTTCTGCGGGAGATGGGAACTCCCTTTGGGCTGGACCTTGGGCTTTTTCACTTTGCAAACCTATTACATGCACAAAAAAAAATATATACTCACAAAAAGAGAGGGAAAAAGCCTAAAAACATAAAACCACCTCTTTAAAGCAAGAATGAACAAATTGTGCCCTTATTCCAATACATTAAACCATGCATCGTTTTTTTTCCGGTTTACACATGAACCACAAAACCTACTGTAAATAGCCTAAAAGTCTGAACCATAGAAATAAAAAGTGGCCTTTTATTGTGGCCAGCCTAAGGCAGACCTGTGCAATCCCCATGCTTTCTGGTCAGCATCTTGATATGCCACACCTCAGCAAAGAAGAATTTTGACAGATTTGTTAACAATATTTGAGAGAAACAGGCTTTTTGTGTACATAGAGAAAGTCTTAGATCTTTGAGTGAGTTCAGCTCATGATGAATGCAGGTAAAAACAAAAGTGTTGTGTTTATAATTTTGTTCCGTGTACATTATAAGCAACACTTGTCATATGTCAAAATCAAATTAAATCAATGAAAATACTTTTTTCGTCATGTCATAATATCATCAAACCATTTTTTTTAACATTAAAGCAAGGTTAATCACATCAAACTGCTTAAACCAAATCATTATAAACAAATGAAGTAGAGTAATACATTTTATTTATACTATTACTCTTTGACAGGTAAAGCACATACTTGTTATTTAAAACTGTTGGTTATTTACCATCCTTAATGGTTAATCAATTATTTATCACCCCTATTGCATTTTTAATGTTGTTCATCACTTGTTAATACATTTCACATGTTTTATAGAGCTGATTTCATTATAACCAAAAAACATAACACTTTGGTATCTGCAGGCAGGAGGCTAACTTCCTGTGAGTGTTGATGAAGGCTCCTGTGGTTAGGCAGCAAACTGCTATGTGTTAGACTTTCTTGTCATACTTTCCATCACGTCTCCAGGTGTTAAAACAAAAGGTCATCATCTTTCATTCTACATATTTTGCAGCAAAAAACAGCACATAAAGCATTGAGGACATTTTCATATTATGAGTCATTTCCAGTATATATAAAAATCCCGATCACTATATGCACTGAAGCAACACTGATGATTAATGCGTGTAAGCAATTTTGCTCGAGGAATACACGTTGTTACATACTCACTGCCTAGATATACTTCTTGTCTTGAAGAAAGACTAAGAAAAGATCAAAAGTAAAAATACATTCCTACTGTTAGTCCCGATGCATACTCTCTCAAAACCACATCATTATTATAATGGTGATTAAGCAGTGTTTGTAGCAACTACAGTGTTAATATGGTGACTTTGGAAAAGCAATATTATCTTACCATATCCATAAAATCATAAGTTTCAAATCTATTTCATATTTGTGGATACACAACTATGATCTATGTTTTCTTTCTAACTTGCTCTGTCTGCAGGAAATGACCTGCCCATCTCCATGGTGATGACCTCACCTACCCAGGCTGAGGATGGATTGGATGATGACAGTAATGATGTCATCCCTGCTGTCACCACAGAGCATCACTTCTGAGTTGATCCAGTGTGTTCAGTGTGTTCTGGTTCTTAATGAAGCTAAAATGTTTGAGTCATCAGCAAATAAACCTCAGATTTCCTTTATAGATCACAAACAACAGAGGACCCAGAACACTTCCCTGTGGAACTCCTCATGTTCTAGTTTGACTTGTAGATGATGTTGAACTCAGGATCTCAGATTCAGCAGCAGCGACAGTCTCACTTTGAACTCTTCTAATGTTATACTGCAAGCAGCTGTGTGAGAGAGGATATCAGGATTAACTCTGTCAGGTTTAGTGAAGCCTGATCACTCAGAGAAAGACTCAGGTGAACTAGATTCATAATACAGGCCGCTGGACAAATGCATTGTTCAAAAGCATGTTTTTGGTCCACATGAAAGATGATAGTTCAGGTTGTGGCTTGAGTTCTGTTATTGGTTTCAGATGTGTTAGATCAGGGCGACATCTTTACTTTTTTATTTACTACATTGAAGTTCTTAATAAACCTCTTACAATCGACCAAATCTCAGTCTCTCTGTCATGTTAAGTCATGGCAAAGCTACAGCTATACAGATGACGTGTGTACACTTTCAGAAAAGGTGAGGATGACCTTAACAGGATCTTTGGTGCTGGTAGATACTTCTATGTCATGGTTGATCTGAACTTTATTAACAGTACTGACGGACAAAAAGGCCCACTCCTCATGTTGGGATACTTCTGTGACAGCAGCCCCAGAATTCAGCCTTCATGATAGTGATTAAAGCTGGGCAATACTGTGAGGTTTTAGTTTGGATCAGGATCTCCATCTTCTAAGCCAGGGTTTGGCAAAGAAGTCTGGCATCGGGCCAAATTTTCCAAGCAGTCATATGGCGGGCCAGAACACACTATATGAAATCATGTGCTTGTTTAGCTCAGTCGGTACTGTGCGTGACTAGTGAGTTGAGAGATCAATTCCATCTTATTTCGGATTTTTTTTTTCTCCTTGTTAAACAAATTGGACACTTTTGCACAGGCTCACATAAAGCATGTGCTGCAGTGTGTGCGCATTCTGGCGTTTGATCCACATTCATAAACCTGTGGACACTTACTTTCATTTCCCTGAGAAAATTCAGGGGAATCCAATCACACGTTTACTGGCGGCTTTTTCAGAGGTGTGTCAAGCAGGCCAGAAACTCTTTCAAAATTTCCTTTCCTTTATTTAGATCGGACTGTAAGTTTATTCACTTCGTTGTTAATAAATACATGGAAACAGTGCATGTTCCGCCTTTGTGTCCTAAAACTAATTAGCTGTCCAAGCACAGGCCAAATTTAAAGCACCAGTAAGCTGCTTCTTAACCTGAGGGATGCTACTTTCAGGGGCAATAAATCATGTTTGTGTCTTATCTGAGTTCATCAGCGAAAAGTTGTCACTTAATCACTGTTTGATGCTGGTCAAGCGGTAAAGAAGACCATTTATAGAGCTATCCTAAACGAGCAGTACAGCTGAATATCTGCATACAGAAGATTTCTTAACTTTGTGTTTTCCTGTCAATCATGCTCTGAGATGCGCCCACTTACGGTGGAGCTCCATACAGTCCTTCCCCCACTGCAGCAGACAGAACACACTGACAGCAGCAGACATCACCTCCTCTTTCATGGAAAAGCTCATGTTCTTCTGTCTCCAGCAGCTTCTGGTAAAGACAATTGGGAATAGAGTCATGTATAAAGAATTTTTACCAATGTTATAACATAATGTCATGTTGTTCTAGGAATGTGTGTGTTATTGTGACACCTACAAATGTGTTGTCACAATTATTAAGATATTTTGTGTAATAGCCTGTAAGAAAGGGGCTTGAGGTGAATCTATTTTGCACGGGCTTTGGGTAGTATTTTTGAGGGTGTAATTGCTCAACGACACCACAAGAGGGAGTATCCACTTATGTGAGCGCTAGGAGCGCTTATGGGGCGGCTGTGGCTCAGGAGGTAGAGCGGGTTGGCCGTTAATCGGAAGGTCAGCGGTTCAATCCCTGGTTGTGTGTCGAAGTGTCCTTGGGCAAGATACTGAACCCCGATTTGCCCCTGGCGGCTGTTCCGCCAGTGTATGAATGAGTGTGACTGTTAATTTCCGTTTGAGCACTTAGGCTCAGTGTATGAATGTGTGTGACTGGTGAATGCAGATGTAGTGTAAAAGCGCTTTGAGTGGTCGAAAAGACTAGAAAGGCGCTATACAAGTACGGAGCATTTACATTTGCATTTTAGTAGCGCGGTGCTTCTGCTCCTCAGACAGAGAACAGCCTGCTGAACAATCACAAGTGGCATCTCCTGTCTCTGCTTTTCCTGTACAAAACAGGTTAGTAATGTGTGATATTTTGCTGCAATGCATCTCTATGGACTTTTAGAGCCCTTACTATGTCGTTCTGACAACGTTTGATGTGTAAAACTGTGGTTTATTCAGTTAAGAGACTTTGAATTAAAAGTGTAGCTAGCACCAGTGTAGAAAGTGTAACCAACATGGCGGCCTTCCGACGTTTGTTGTGTTTATGGTCATTGCTCCTGGACATTGCACTTTTCTTTGTATTTGTTAAAGCTAAAGGTTGAGCTACGATTATTTAAAGTTTGTTGAGTTGAGGATGTATCAAGTCCTGCATTCAAGTCCTGTCACCATGATAATACTGAACAGTGTAACATGATGATAAGGTTAAAAAAAGAATGTGTATCTTGTATAATGTAGGCCTCTGTATTGTTTTTATATGTTGTATGTGAGAATGTTGGGGAAGTGTGAAACAAGTAGGCTTAACAGTATCAAAGTTACTGGATGTATATGATTTTGGAGCTAGTAAAAAGCAGTAAGTGTGAGTCACAGTATCAGTTGAGGCTAGGAGGGGTGAATTATTTCTGTTGAACTGATATAAAATTGGTAAAACATGTTATTCCAGCGGTCTAATGCATTAACATCCATGCTGTAGTGGGAAACTAAAAGTGTAATTTGTTAAAAGGAATGTGGTCAATGTGGTTTAAGTGAAGGAGTGAGAAAAAGAAATAAATTCTGTAATAAAGACAGAGAACAGCCTGCTGAACAATCACAAGTGACATCTCCTGTCTCTGCTTTTCCTGTACAAAACAGGACAGAATATCCGTTCACAGGTAACTCTTGCTTGAGGCCTGTAACAGAAATTTGGAGGCACCGCTGGGATCAGCATCTGATGAGAGTCTGTGCTGATCCTTTAACCTACAAACCAAACAGACATCGCAGGACCGGTACAGTGAAGTGGCAGGCGTGCAACTGAGGTGGCTACGGGACCGGAGACTGTGAGGGGACCCCAGCTGGAGGAGTGCCGTCTTGCTCGCTCGAGGTGACTGGACTGTGAGACATTGCAGGCCAAGGGACACAGTATGGAGGATGTTGAAAGAAAAGAACTCACCTGGAAGATAAAGAAAAGTCTTCACATGCTGACAGTGGAGGAACTCTTTCAGGTTGCTGAGAACATCACGCTGGTACCAGATCTTGATTTTTCAAGAGTAGTTTATGGTGATGAGGCAAGCTGTTTTGATTATATATGCACTTACCTGAATTGTAAAACGCTACTTGAGCTAGAGGACCAGGGATTTTCTTACTTGCTGTCTTTGAGAGATGCTATTACTAAACTCATTGCTAGTCGTGTTGCTGAGGTCAGTCAGCCTACAGTGCCAGAAGGTGATATCACACAGGCACAATCCAGAATGTGTTTCTGCGCACCATCCACCAGGGCCTTCTCCCCAAGTACAGTGACATCCGTAGTGAACTCAAGCCTCTCTTGTCTGATTATGCTGTCTCAGATGAAGCACTGATAAGGCAAGTTAACAAAGTGTCTAGTGAGGAAAGTGAGAGACAGCGAAGACTGGGACATTGTCCCCGACAGAAGGTAACACATGCCCACAGTGCTCAACTTGAGCCTGACAAAGACAGTGAGAAACTAGCTGATTACAAAGCAAAAAACAAACATAGAGCCATAGAGGAACTGAGTGCAAAGGTTGATGCTCTGACTAAAGTGGTGGAGAGCCTCACCCTCCTCAAGACTCCTGAACAAACTTGTCAGTGCATCCATACAAAGCAAAAGGTCCGACAATCAACAAAACAATATGGCTGTTGGATATTGGTGACAGCCTTCTAGAGATTTGTCAGGCTAGATTCCCTTTTGTGAGGGTCCCCATCGGCAACCATACCAAACACGACGTGACCCTGTTCTGTAAAACTGCCCCTGGGAGCATTGAGGCAATATCCAGAGTTGTACCAACTGACGAGCTGAACCAGACAGAGGCAAATGTTACCCAGGAAGCCAACTGGGAAGAACAGTCAGGGACTTAGCAAGACAGAGGGGTAGTGTGGCCCAGGAATGGGATCCACCAGTTGATCTTAACCATTTAACCGAGGGTCAGCAGACGATTGTAAGGAAAATGTTACGAGAAGAGTCCAGGGCATTCGCACGAGACGACGATGACATGGGGTGTATACCTGGCCTGGAAATGTCCATTACTCTCAAGGACAGTACTCCAATTCAGAAATCATATACCTCTATCCCAAAATCCCTTTACAAAGAGGTAAAGGAGTACATTGAGGATCTTCTAGTTAGAGGGTGGATTGTGAAGTCCAAATCCCCATACTCAGCACCAGTAGTCTGCGTGCGGAAGAAAGATGGGACGCTCAGACTCTGTATCGATTATCGTCTTTTGAATCAACGCACTGTTCCGGACCGACACCCCTTGCCGAGAATACAAGATCTCACAGACACTTTGGGTGGATACAGCTGGTTCTCCATCCTAGACCAGGGGAAGGCATACCACCAGGGGTTCATTGCAGAAGGATCGCGCCACTTGACTGCATTCATCACCCCCTGGGGTCTTTATGAGTGGGTGCGAATCCCTTTCGGACTGACGAACGCACCTGCTGCGTTCCAACGCAGCATGGAAGAGATGCTTGCTCCCCTTCGTGACGAGTGTTGTATTCCATATCTGGATGATATACTGTGCTATGCTACAACATTTGAGGACCATGTTGAAGGGCTGAGAAAGGTCCTGAGGGCCCTACAGATTTATGGAGTCAAACTCAGGCCCACAAAATGTGAACTGTTTAGACGAGAAGTGAGATATGTTGGTCGTTTGGTTTCAGCCCAGGGGGTGCGCATTGATCCGAAGGACCTGGAGGCGGTGTATACTCTGAAGAATGAAGCACCTGCCACTGTAGGAGATGTGCGGAGAGTCATGGGCTTCTTGAGCTACTACCGCTCATATGTTCAAGACTTCTCCAAGCTGGCGACACCCATCTATGAACTCCTACAACCAAAGAGAAACAGAGAAGAGCAGCCTCAGGGAAAACATGGTGGACAGAGAGGAAAGGGTGCACAGTTACCTTCTAAAACCCCAGTCAAATGGACGGAGAAACATCAGGAGACACTGTGTAAGTTGAGTGACATGTTGGCGAACCCCCCTGTTCTCGCGTACCCAGACTTCGAGCTTCCATTCGTACTCCACACCGATGCATCCGACAAAGGACTTGGAGCTGTCCTTTACCAAAACCAGGGCGGGAGGCTGAGAGTAATAGGATACGGCTCAAGAACCCTTACACCCGCAGAAAAGAATTACAGACTCCACTCAGGCAAACTAGAGTTTCTCGCCCTAAAGTGGGCAGTCTGCGAGAAATTCAGGGATTACTTGTTTTACGCCCCACATTTTACTATCTACACGGACAATAATCCCTTGACGTATGTCATGAGTACTGCTAAATTGAATGCAGTTGGCTACAGGTGGGTGGGAGAACTATCAGATTTTAGATTTGACATACGTTACCGACCCGGCAAAGTGAATGTAGATGCAGATACTCTGTCAAGATGCCCCCTTGTCATCAACAGATATGTCACTGAGTGCACGAAGGAACTCCCCAGAGAAGCTGTCACTGCCACCTGGGAAGGCTGTGGGGCAGGCAAGCGTGGGTTGCTGCCTTGGCTCTAGCACAGGGTGATCAACATGAACCAAACAGCAGAGAAGTTGTGCCACCCATTGATCTGGCTGAACTCCAAAAAGCTCAGAGAACAGACCAAGTGATAGGGGAGGTTTTGAAAATGAA